TTTATTATTTAACAGCGTTTTAAAAAATCAGGTTGCTATTATGTAGCTGATAATAACGTAATAGTCCAATTTTATTATAAATTTTTGTATTTTTATAAAAGAAGATTTATTGAACATTTACATTCATTCAAAATATTTTACATTCATTGTATGCACATGTATTTGCAATCATCAGAAAATTTAAGTCGATATTTATACGAAATCCAGAAAATTTCTTAAATCGTATCACTACACAAGATAAGACTGTCAATTGGCAATATTAAAATTAATAATTGATATAAATACAAATGTCAATTGCAAAAATAAATTCGAGTTTTATTTTGACGTTCTTTCTTTTTACATTATTGAAATTATTTAATGATTATGAAATATTTGATTTTTTTTTATCATAAATTACTAAATTAAGTATAATTAACTAATATATTTATACCTAGATAAAAATTAATTAAAGGTTAATTATTATCTAGGTATAAATTAATTTTTTTCTATTAATTTAACATTTTTAATTACTTTCATTCATAAATTCAATACTTTCAAATACGATTTAAAAGACCAAGGTACGATTTATATAATTGATGTCTAAATCATACCTTTTGCAACATGTTATAAAAAAACTTACAATAAATTAATTTGATATTGGTGAAAAATTAAACTATAGAAATCAAAATTTTAAACGGTCTAGCTGGATTTTACAATAATACTTGTACGTATGATTCTTGTGTGAATTTATATACTACGTATGTAGTCTCCAGAAACGCGCGCCGAAATGATTTTTCGGTCTTGAAATGCTAACTCTCTACTAAACTACCGCAGTAATATTACGAGTTAAATTGACTAGCAGTTTAACAAATTTTTTATGCTTATTCGCATCTTCGAAACGATTTTAATAATTAACATTACTAGGACTACATACGTAATATGTAAATTCACACAAGAATGATACAAGCATTAAGATCCAGCTAGACCGTTTAAGGCTTTGATTTCTATAATTTATGTTATTACATGTACTTACGGTCCTATAATATGTTATATTGAAAAATTAAACATGTAATAATAAATGTCTAAAATATCAAACTACAATTTCCAATGTTCATTTGCATACAAAACAATGCCAAGTGGAAAAAGTAATAAAAAAATAGGTTAAGAAGAGGTATACATTCGGCAGCTCTTCCCTAACTCAAAGGATTGGATTGCCATTGCTTCTTTGATATGACAGTGTGAGTACACCGATCTCTTCTTTTAATCGTCGAAAGTCGGATGCGATTGTGTTCGCTGAATATCGCACGTCGCATTGTAGAAAGCGTTTCGTATCACGTGGCTGCGAAGCGTCTTAAAGTCGCCTCGATCCAAAAACTTGCTAGAATAGCAGTAATAGTAATTGTAGTAATTTAGAGAGGGGATCTGCGAGAGTTTGATCCCAAGGTATTATCGCGAAAAAATCTAGCGCACATATATACGTTGGATCTTTCTCTTCGGGAGAGATTCACGATGACGTACGCGTGTTGTGCCTATTGGCGCACACGTGGTGTGCATTGTCTTACCGCTGAGGCAAAAAAAAAATAGACTGGCAAAGAGGAAAAAGTGCAACAATGCAGGAGTATAAAATACAAAACAAAAACTTGGCCATGCCAAACGTTTGGCCTTCTTCCTTAGTACTTATAGCGTTTTTCACTTACAGAATTAGTGCGCACTCAGTGCATATTAAAGCTATTGTATACTAACCTAATCTGAATGTAAAAGTGAGATATCTCAATTGATAAAATACCCAATGTATATTTTATCAGATATGACAATAGAATATATTGAGTATTTCGCGGTTTAATTCGTTTTTATATATTTTTATTAAATGTATATCTTTACATCAATTTGTGTACAACGGTTTTAAAGTACACTGAGTGCATACCAACTCTGTCAGTGAAAAACACTATTAAAGCTTCTTTCATCAACTTCTGATTAGATTAATCGATGATTAACTCGCAGAGAAGTGCCAACAGCAGTTTAATGTATTAGAACGTCTCGTCTTTCTTCCTCTTCTGGGTTTAGTTCTCACGTTGGCAACCGTGATGATTGAGTTAATCATCGATTAGCGTTAATTGGGCTTGGTGAAAAAGACCCTTAGTCCTACAGAGTCTTTATATGTATTTTCAAACCAAATACTCTTTTTTTGTATTTCTTTCCTTATAAATAAAAATTTAATATTCATAATTAAAGAATGTTTTCTTATGTTGAACTTTGTGACGCATGAGGTTTGTTTTTCGTAGAGTGACTTGAAGAAACAATTTGCTTAAAAGCGCAGATAGTTTGGAAATAAGCTCTTCGATTTGAGGTCAACTCCGGCATCGCATAACTATTTGACAAACATTCCACAAATACGAGCATATTGTTATATACATATATGTATATCGACACATTCTATGTCATCGTTCACAATTGGAGAATAATTCAGATGAGCAAAACGATTTTTCTACTTGTCATAGAAATAATGAGGAAAGTGATAATGACTATATTTACACGGTAATCGGGTCCTTAATCGGGTTTAATAATACCCATAGTCATGAAGTTGGCTAATCACAGTCATTCCTTTTTTTCACTGAAATAGCTGATTGATCAGTTTCATAACTATAATACTAGACTAGTTATTAAAGGTTAAGGATGTAAACGTAGTCGATGAGAAAAAATATATAATTAAGAAATTCCAGGCAATTGAAACTCCGACTGGAGTAATATTTTTTCTAATAAGTTGTTTTCAGTGTAGGAATGTTTATCGTTATTCGATAATATCAAGTATTTTTTACAACTCAATATA